GAGCTCAGCTGCCAGAGCCCGGGCTCAGCAGGGACGGGGCATCCATCACCCGGGCAATATTGCACATTAGCTGTGCACGGACCCTCCTAGAGCCGATATTCCCTTCTGCTCACGGGATAATTAAACCCCAGAGCTTTAAAAATAATTAAAAAATCAACTTCTCAGCTTTATTTCTACCTCAGACTTGGAATTTTTTCAATTCTCCTCTCTTTTTGCAGGACAATATCCCACCCAACCATCCTACCCCGTCCAGTCTCCTGCCAACGCCGCCGTCTACCCGCAGACGATGCCCCTTCCACAGCCACCGCCCTACACGGATGCACCTCCTGCTTATTCCGAGGTAGACCTGACACTTCTCAGAAAGTTTTATTTTCTTTTGAGATCCCTCCCAAATTAAAAAAAAACAAATATCTGTAAAAGTTTCTAACTGCAGGGTTTTTTTTTTGCTTGGAGGACTTGTTTACTGGACGATGATTGATCTCCAGATCTTCTGAGATCTGGATGATCCAAAGTGCAGTCGTTGTTCAGAGCTTTTCCTTGAGTGAAGGTGACTAATTTAGCTCACGTGGAGCTGTAAAACACAATCATATCTCTGTTGGAGTGGGGTAAAACCATCTCCAGTAGTGGGGAAAAACGTCCTTTGACCCCAAAGGAAACGCTCAGGGAAGGGAATTCCTTTACGCGACCGGGAGGGTGAAAGTCTCCGTGGGGGCTGGTGCGTTGGCACCGCGGCTCAATCAACAACGTGGGGTGGGGAACGCCGCGTCTCTAAACTCTCCTGAATGTTTTTTGTTTGCTTTGTTTTTTTTTTCCTCCCAGCTTTACCGTCCCAGTTTCGTGCCTCTGGGAGCTGCCACCGTCCCTACAATGTCCACAGCGTATCCAGGTGCTTCGGTCTTCCTGCCCATGGCCCAGTCTGTGGCCGTGGGTCCCATCGGCTCCTCGGTCCCCATGGCCTATTACCCTGTGGGACCAGTTTATCCTCCAGGCTCAACAGTCCTTGTTGAAGGTGGTTTTGATGCTGGAGCGAGGTTTGGAGCTGGTGGAACCGCCAACATCCCTGTAAGTATGAACATCCCTCAAAACCATGCGTGTCGCACTTGGTGAGGCTTCACCTCGAGTGACTGGGTTCAGTTTTGGGCCACTCACCCCAAGAAGGACATGGAGGTCCTCGGAGCTGGAGCATGTCCAGAGAAGGGCAACGGAGCTGGGGAAGGGTCTGGAGCACAAGTGTGCTGAGTTCCCAGCTGAGGGAACTGGGGGTGTTGAGCCTGGAGAAAAGGAGGCTGAGGG